AGGAATTATTTTGATGTTTTAAGATTTTCTATGATTTCTTATCAAAATTTAATATATGCACTGAGAGTAAGAATATCTCGAAATGATAAATTTCAATAACTGAATGTATATTTTCAGCAAATTTTATTAGCTAGAAAGAAATTTGAAAAAAGTTGCTCTTTTATAATTCGATTAAACAAAAACTGAGGAAAATTCTCCTTTTTTTAAGGAAAAAATTGCTCATTATTAACGGAAACTTTTAGGAATCAATGCTGCCAGACGATGATGATGTGGACGATATAAAGCCACCGGTCAATTATAAAGCAATGTTTGAGGGTGCATCAGAACCGAAGTATACCGATATGGAGTTGTTTGTAGAATTACGATACTGGATTGTGCTTGCTTTATTTATATTTTTACTCATTATTTATCGTAGTTTTTTGCCTCCGCTCCAATGTGATACCAAATTTCAGTAGTAAATTTGATCCTCACAAATTATCATTGATTATCATATTGTACGAATAATATTTATACAGTAACAGATCAATAAATTTTCCATTTTTGCTTTTACGGCAAATGCTATATCGTGGTAATAGGATCTCAATATGTTTCTCCTAATATCTCAATGATTCTCGCAAGGAAATTCCTGTTTTCCATGAGCTTGTAATATATTAATTTCTTCTCACAATGAACTGATAACTGACCGCTATAACAGTTACCAAAACGATGATTTGCTCAACTTGTGGGTGATAATTATTTGTGTCCATATCATAAATTGGAAGTTTGCATAGGTAATAAAGATGGGAGGAAACTGATAGAAATAAGGACATCGAAGAAGTGGACAAAATTAATTTGCATAACGCGCATACTTCAACAACATATTTGATAAAGCAGTGAATTGAGGAGGATGGCGGTAAAATTTGAATTTCAACTTATTGCTTTTGACAAAACCAAACGTCCGATCATTTCAACGATTAATTGTGTGCGTGCTAATTAACTATGATTTCAGTACGATGGTTATTAAACAATCATACTAGTGATCACACCTGAAAATATTTGCTCAGGTATTTTGGGTTAGAGGAAATTTTAAAAAAATTCCTTAATTTTAGATGATTTTAGTGGAAATTTGGCAAAGTTTTTGCTATTTCTGATCAGTGTATTATCGATTGAGATATTGATTGTTATCACAAATCACTTATCGTGTTATCCGCTAGTAGTCGACGTGGCGATTTCCATTTAAGTATTTTGGATTAAAGAAAATTTCCAAAAAATCCTTAACTTTCAGGTGATTTTAATGAAAATTTAACAAGGTTTCTGTTATTTTTGATCAGGATGCTATCGGTCTGAGATATTGATTGCTGTTAAAAATCAACAATTATGCTAGACACTAGCCACCACACCTGGAAGTATTTGATTAGGAATTTCGGACCGAAAAAAATTTTGAAAAATCCTTAATTTTTCGGTGATTTTAGCGAAAATTTTACCAAGGTTTTTGCTATTTTTGATCAGTGTGTTGCCGATCTGAGATATTACTTACTGTCAAAAATCACTGACTGTTACCCATTAGCGCTAACATCTGAAAATATTTGCTTAGTTATTTTGGATTAAAAGAATTTGAAAAAAATCCTTAATTTTTAGGCGATTTTAGTGAAAATGTCACAAGGTTTTGCCATTTTTGACCAATGTTATTTCCAGGATGTTCGCTCTTTCTGGTATTTTGTTTCTCAAAAAGCAATGTAGGAAGCATTTTTGTTCAGCTCACCTAGTGGCTTATTTACCGATAGATTTACTTGACGTTATTCACAGAGAAAGCATGTTTAAGTCATCATCCTGTAGTTTAGATATAGTTAGCTACTGTAATATTTGCAGGGTAAATTTATAAGAAGTATGAATCAGATAGGAAAAGACAAAACCTATTATTAAATTTGTTGTTATCATGGCTATTTTATTAAATTTGTTGTTATCAAGCATTCATTCGGTTGTTTATGCAATCCTTCATGATCGATCGATGTCAGATATCAAATTGTTAATAAATGGCTGATCTCTGATTTGTATGATTGATCTCTGGTTTGTATGATTTTCAAATTCAAAAGGCCACGTTGAAATACTTCTTTTTTTGTTTTATTACAATAACTTGTTACTGTAATTCATTTGCATATAACATGATTATATGAAAAAATGCAAATTTTATTTGGGTGAAAGCACATTTGTATTCCCTTTTGATGGCAATGATAAATGGCTAATAAATTATATTCTATGGTTAAATCATATTATTAAAATTCAAATCATATGAGTTCCAATACATTTATGATTTATCAGTCGCTAATTTCAACTTTTCATTGTTTTATCAGTTTCTGCTTTATTTCCGCCATATTTCCTTT